TAATATCATTAATCAAAAATAACCATGATAGTCTTTTCTGTCCGCTAGAAAATGCAAGATACTCATAAGAGAGCTGTGTACTGAGAATAGAACAAATAGAATCCTATGTCTGACCAGGATTAACGATGCTACAAACTAAGCCCTTTGATATGGCCGTGTTGCATGACTCTCGCTTCTTCCTAATATCCCTCTGACTCTGATCAAGCTCTGTCAAGACACGATCAATTCCAACGTCTTTTCCATCCTTCGAAACGGGAACCATCCTGCCGTCACGTTTCCTAAAACAGCCGTTTACCAAAACAGCCTCGATATCGCGGGCCTCACTGTACGTGACGATCGCAGCGATTGGTTCCTCTCTCGCCGACGCACCGAATGCTAACGATTGATCCCGGGAGAATATCACAATATCCGCCCTTTTACCAACGGCAATAGACCCTATTTCATTTCCCATGCCAACAGCCCTCGCAGCTTCAATGGTCGCTTTGTTAAAGACATCATGACTCGTTTGATCGAATTTATCAAGCCTTTGGCCTTTTTCTTTGTACTCAAGTGTCTTTTGTAAGCGGGAGAATAGAAGAGCGGTCCGAGCTGCTTGCATGAGTGACGAGGAAGTGAGACAATGGCAGTCTGCGCCCAAGGCGGTGATGAGGCCTGGTTCGAATAGGAGGTGCCAGCCCATTGAGCCTTGAGCTTCTGTGGCTGGTGTGCATGCTAGCGGGACATGGTGTTTCTTGAGGATATCGAAGTCTTCGTCGTCCATGTAGTTACCGTGAGAGATGAGAATAGTGTAGTCGTCTTCTGGGCCAGGGAACAGAGAGTACTTCTCAAGAGCTTTTGGTACAGAGGATCCTATTTTGTTAGCCATTGGCTACACAATTGGTCATGATTGGCTTACCGAAATTGCCGCTGTGTGATGTAATAAGCTTGACACCGGCTTTGACCGCTCGATGGAATAACTTTTCCACTTCTTGTTGTGGCATATGATATCCATCGAATGAAACGCCAACGTCGACACAACCATTCCCAAAAGGGCCTCTTTGGGCTAAATCTTCGACATGCTCAATGAATGGTTCGGATACAGACATGGGATTCGGGACACATGATTTGTCGTCCCATTTCTGGAGATTCAAAAACGTTTCCCCGTAAGCGAATACTCCTCTGATACCAGAGTCTGTAAATGCAGATATAGCGGACTCGGCTACTCTTTGTTAGCCGTGGTTGAGTGCTGCTAGTACTATAGACGCACCGTGTTCGGGAGATTTGCATCCATGGCAGTGGTCAAGGACGTATGTTGTTCCGGCGTCGATGGCTTCAAGACAACCAGCCAATTGGCCCCAGTAGATATCTTGAGGGGTATAATTGAAAGACTGAAGGAGGTCTAAAAAGTTAGCTATCTTCTTTCAAGGGCTAGATATGTACTGACCATCTGAAAAGTAGTCCAACCAGCAGTTGTCTGTACCATAACCCTTGAGCTGTGTCTGCCAGAGGTGGTGATGTGTGTTGATGAAACCCGGACTAATTATCTTGTTGGAGCAGTCGACAACTTCAGTATGAGGTGGAGGCTTGATAGATTTGCCTATTTCCTTGATAATACCGTCCATTATCAGGATGTCGGTATTCTCAACGACTTGAATAGAATCATGCTCATCATGCTGTATGACGAAGCCATTCTGCAAAAGAATTGTCGTACTCAGTGCAGCTTGACTTGACTGTCTTTTGTTATATTTTGATGGCTGCAGTTGCTTCCCAAGTTGTGAAAGAAGTGATTGAGACATGTTGTTTATGATTAAGACTACAGAACAACTAATGCCTTTCCAGCAATTCTACCCTTTCCTTTTATATCCAACACAACGAACTAATTACACTTCTTATTCTCGCCAAGGATCAAGCTATAGCCGTAAAGTCATAGCCACCCTGGTATGTTAGGGACTGATTATCACCGAACTGGATCTAGGGTTGCATCAACCTTGGCAAAGCGTCGGGTACCGTGTGGAGGAATATTACGATGTTATCTGTAAGCAGATTCACATCTCCAGATGAGACGTGCGTTGCCAAGTTCGTGTTAGTCCAGCCAAGTCGGAGTTTCGGGCCACTGTACTTGGCGAAAGGCCGAGATTAAACACGAGTGCCGAAGTAATTTTGTATGGCATATCGGGGCTTGTTGTCAGCGAGTGCCGACTTCTCTCCACATTTGCTTCCCCAGATTTCATGTCGATCCTGGAGAATTATAATGGAGTGTGGATCTGGCAGCTTTGGTACATGTCGTGTGCTCGTTCCGGAGGGTTCTAGCGGGACGATTTATGCAAATGGTCCATATTTCCTGGTGGAATTACATTCCGTATCCTTACTTGGCAGTGAAAAGTAAGAGCTTTGTAATGATGAGAGGTTCTGTTGTTCGGGATGTGGGGGGTTCAAGCGTCAAGATCGGGTAGCTCTGATAGCAACTTGGTTTACAAGACCATTCGGGTGCTGGGAAGGATTACATCTGGTTGTCAAGGCACTTGTACTTACAGGAATTGCCTTTATCAAAATAGCCTTGATCAGTCTTCTTTATTGTTGAAATGCCAACATTATCATCTCTGTACTTTCACTGTCCACTATCCCGCCATCCACTTCCATGGCCTTGATCTGTAATTGGCCTCGACGACTAAACATTTGACGGTCACTGGAATCATAAATACAGCACCCAAGCTACAAAGAATTCAAGAGTGTTCCTTGGTAGCTGATGTATGAAAAGAAAAGATTGGTAAATGATATTACGATAACCTTATGTAACTGAGTTTCTTCCGGTTGCATCATCTCAAACAATGTTACCCCTGCTGCACCATTTTACGCAATGCAACTCTGGTTCCGCAACTCTATTTGCGCGCTGCAAAAGAACGGTTTCCGCAAAGTTAAAACGGCCCGTTATTCTATATGATATTAATAATTTACTAATTGATCACATGACCAAATGCATACAGATTCATAGAAAATGCTTTCTTTGGTTCACTCTAAAACAAGCCTGTCATATTGAACAAGGGCGCCAAGATATACTGAACTTACTCAAGTCTGATGTCGCTCAGAACAGGTCTCTATGCAACAAATCTCCTGGCTTCCCTTGCAGCGCGTATGCAGGCCTATACCTGCGTTAGGAGCAAGAGTAGAGAGTAGAAGCTGCTTGGTTGTTTTATTATAAAAGATTCTCAAGCGCACTTCTGCATATCCAATCTCTAATGGTCAGTGGCAGTCACTGGCAACAAGTGTGTCACTGTAGCTGCACAAGATATAAGTGGGCCCTATGCCACTGCCTCGAGCGAACTCTCTCTCTTAACTTGTGTTCAAAACTTCCTCGCTCTTTTTTTTTCATCGTGCTACGACATCTCATCTCTCTCGCCAGAAATACCACTCGCGATGGATCACATCCCCAACGAGATCCTGAGCCACATCCTCAGCTATCTTCTTACCGACAGAGGAAAGCATCGCCTGCGCGAAGACTCGATCCGTCACGTCTTGCCCGTCCGCCTCGTCTGTCATCAATGGAATGAGCTGGTGACTAAGCATCTCTTCCGAACAATCACACTCTAGCAGAGTAAGAACACGATCGAAGATGACTTTAGCTCCTGGCATAAAGTTCTAGAAAATGACTCCATCAAAGATGCTGTGCGACGCGTCGCTATCGAGACCTCACCAATCTATGATTACGTTGACGCTGATCATATTTCATCTTGGCCAGAGTCTTGGCCTAGGGATGGCCATTGGCCTGAGTTTACATCCGCCATCAGCCGCATCTGCGATATGCCAAACCTCGACTGTCTCGATATGCGTTTCTCGCTCTTTCCCGCTAGTGAACAACTCCCAGGATTGATAAATGAGCCCTCATCTACACGCAGGAGGACACTCGAAATCATTTCGGAGACACTAAGGGCTCGAGAGTCTCGTCCTGGGACAAGTATTATCCGCGAGTTGATACTGAAAAGCCTTGAGGATACGCCGCTGCCCAAGAATCTCACCGATAACCTATTACAAAATATCGAAAAACTACACATTGCCTTGGTTTATGGTGACGACCAACGAGAGAAGCCTGGATTTTCCTCATATCTCTCAGGCACTCTCTTACCTTCAGTTTCCGAGCGTCTGGTTGAGCTGACGATTGCTGGTCACCGCTGGGGATCTATCCCAGCTGAGTTTGATGGCAAAGGTCTATCATTTCCATGCTTGGAGCGCTTGACGCTGGAGGAATACATCATTCTTCGACAAGATCAATTTGACTGGGTCCTGCAACAACGTTCTCTCGTCGACTTGAACCTTTACAGCTGCAAAATTGCGACGCACTGTCTTGTGCAACAGCCCGCTTTTGAAGACATGGGCGTCAACCTAGATGGGTGGAAGAAACTACCAGACCACTCCACGAATATGGGCCAGCCAAACCACAGCCTCATGATGGCTCACACACATCCGGGGCCGCTCGACTCCGGCTGATATACAAATGATCTCCGATGGTCAGACATGTTCGACCGTATCCGCCAAAATCTACCAAACTTACGAAACTTCAATTTCAAGTGTTCCAGCTGGGAAAATTACTTCGAGGGCCGTCCAATAGTTCTCGATCTCGGGATGTCCGGAAGGTATTACACGTTTGACGAAGGAAGTTGGGGGGTGATGTGGTACCGGCCTGTCGAAGAACGTCCGTTCCCGATGGAAGAGGACCCTTTCCAGGATGAGAACATGCCAGGAACGCCAGTGGGCTTATACGAGCGTGCTCAGTTAGCGGATGCACATGCGTTGAAGAAGCTGCTGGTAGCGACGTGCAAGCGAGGTGATGGAAAACAGTACACTCTTGTGGGAAGATCAACCATACGGCAACGTGGTTAGGGGAGGCAAAAAAGCTTGGGACCTCTACCCTAGGTGGCAAGATGGCCAATCTACAGCTCTTCAAGGTTGAAATGAGCTTGGCTAAGTGTTTTTATCGAATCCTGGAGGTCCTTTGTTTTCTGATTTTTGAGGCGTGGAACAACTTGGGGGATTATGATTCATTTCCATGTACGGAGTAGACTATGGTATCTATGACAAAATGACAGTCGCCTCTTAAATGCTCTCATCTTCCCAAGCTAGGGGAGGAAAGAA